GAACTCGATGCGCATGAGGTAAATAGATTTTGCTAAGACGACTATAAAGATGAGATGACTTTGTAGGAAACGTGTTCTTCTAAAAACGATACTACATCGATGGAACAAAGAAGAATTAGAAGCAACAGTCGTGGTAAATCTTTTGTTTTTAGTACCAGAAGTTTTTTACAGTCTTTTCTAATGTAGGTTTGAAACAGAAGTCTGATAAAAAGGAAAGTAAGCAAAATAAATCAACATTATTGGAAGCTGGTGATAATAGCTTTTTTCATGAAATGATTACAAATGATCTTAGCCAATTCGTCTTTATGCCCATTCCTGTCGGACAAAATTTTATCAAATGTCGCATTCTACGTATGAAAGGAAATACTTACTTATTTCATGTTGAGCAATCTGTCAGCAAGCGAGAGGTTAGTGATAACTAAATGACATATTTGAATTTGAAACAAACTTTCTATTCAAACATTATATTTTAATCAGTTGCTTGCACTTATGGCTAAAAAACAATCATGGAATGCAACATCACACTACGTTATTACAAGTGAGTCTAAAGATTTGCTCAAAAACAGACAAGGTATTGCTACACTCCGGTAAGTATTCTTAGCAAATATATATGATAGGTAATCTAACATCTCTCATCTTAATTGCATTCGTAGAGCAAAAACGTTTGGTGGGCTAGAATTTATCATTTACAAAGATGATAATAATAAGTGCGTTGAATATAAGTGTCATATGTTAATAACTTGATGTTATATTATAGAACTGTTAATGGATATCAGTCAGAAATAGGTGGTATTATTTATGTAATTAAATATGCATTCAACGAAATACTAATAATGACTGAACAATCATTTTGTTATAGGAGAGAAACATTCTTGGTAAGAAAGGTCCTCGAAAAATGACTGTTATTCTTCCAAAATCCAGTTTGAATGATGAAATAGGAATAGTTCAAACAGCTCGAGTATGTTTATAAGAAAAAGGGTTTAGAGTTGTATTAAATTAATTTATTTAGGAATCAAATAACCTTATTCAACAATGGAAACGAAACGATACAAATGACTTGTGGGAATTTCATAATAAAGCTCCTATCTGGAGTACAGGTAGTTTTTCCTAATAAATTACTATCATTTCGGCATTAAACATAAATATGTTTTCCTTTTATTTAG